TCCTGTTATCTGAGAAATTATTTCTGATTTCATTTTTTCCAGATCCCCTTTTGTTGCCAGCTCTGTGATCCAGGTGGTTGAGTATGAGTTTTCCATCTCATTTCCCTTTGGGGTTGCTGTAGGTGATCTGGAAGTCTGGTTTTGAGACTTGTTTACGTGTTTTCTCATTTTGACTGGGACAGGGGGCTGTTAGCGCCTGCACGGATTACCTCCTCTGAGCTGGGAGAGGTGGGACAGGGGCCAGGAGTAGCGGTAGGGATGGTGACCCAAAAGCCCTTTCCTGTGGGCTGGGAGCAGCGGGAGGGATGGTGGTGGGGGAGCCCCTTCCTCTGGACCAGGAGCAGTGGGATGGTGGCTCAGAAGCCCCTTCCTCTGGGCCAGGAGCAGCGGGACAGAAGGTGGCCCAAAAGCCCTTTCCTCTGGGCTGGGAGCAGACGGAGGGATGGTAACTGGGAAGCCCCTTCCTCTGGGCCAGGAGCAGCGGGACTCAGTACCTTGGTCTATTGGTCTGGTGTCCTCTGCGTCTTTGTAGTGTGGAACCAGGTGGCTGCCTGCCTGCAGCGGGCTGATTCGGCATGTTCCATGCCACTCAGGACCTCAGTAGGGCGTGGGCAGACCTGCCTGTCTGCAGCGGGGTGATTCAGCATCTTCCTCGAGACTCAGGACCTCAGTAGGGCATGGGCAGACCTGCCTGTCTCGCCTTGTCAGTTACTCAATGCCTCAACCCCTGACGGTGAACCTTAGAGAAGCTTTCAGTGATACAGCCAGCTGTGGCATACATGAGACTTGCCATACATTTGCTACCACTGCCTTAACCCTTCAAAAGTCAAATTAAAAGTTTTTTGATTGCACACTTTGGTAATAGTCTTTCTTCCTTTTTAAAGAATATCTTTAACATTCTGAGAAAAAAATAGAACACATTATTTATTCTTGTCCATGGAGTGAACAGTAAGTAAAGTTGAGCTTCTAAAGACACTGAAGTTTGGCAAAATGCATAAATTGCCCACCCAGATAGTCAACCATTAATCTCAGATGGCAAACCCAACCTAGGTATACCCATGAAATAAGAACAGTTTGTGCTCTGAACAGAACGCTGGTCATGAAAAATCAGAGTAGTGTTGATTTGCTTGGATCTTTTCCCCCAGACACCCCTAAAACTTTCCTTCCCTGTTTTCTCTGTTTTATTACCAATTGAGTCGATCCTTCCTTAACAGAGTCCTTCCTCCTAATCTTTCTCACCATATTTCTACTTCAACCTAGAGACTGCTGGACTTTTGTACTTCAGTTTAAAAAGAGATGGTAGAATCCTATATGGCAATTAAGAAAAACAAAACACCTAACTGCCTAAGCAATGGAAATTGTGTACAACTCTGTTCGCATTTTACCTATTTTAAATCTTTTTTCCCCCAGAGATGCTTTGCCTTCTGTTGCACCAACTGACCCAAGAAGGTTTTGTGTTCCTTCCCAATTTGGATCATCTGTTCTACCAAATATGCCCAATATGCTGCCCAATCATGGCTACTCAGGTATGAGCAATAGACATTTGCCTCTTGTCTGCAGAGCCACAGAGAATGGAACAGCTGCATTAAACCGGCCATGCTTTTACTGCAGAATTCGGAGACACAACTGTGTGATTTTGTTTATGGTTTCTGTAGTTATTACCTAAATTCAAATCATGGTGCCACACTGTGTAACCAAGTGTCATTACTTAACTCCCCTAAGCATCAATTTACTTATGGAAAAATAATGAAGAATTTACTGTCTAACTTATCCTACACATGAAGAACAGATAAGGTTATGAGGAAAGGAAATTTGAGTGCTAATGAGGCTCGGGGTGGTTCACATGGCCTGGGTTGCGAATGAGGCTAAGTGGTACAACACTCACCTAGCATGCATGAGGCCATGGGTTTAATCCTCAGCACTGCAGAAAACAAAACAAAGTGAAAAGCATATGGTGTCAGTGAGATCTTGGCTCTTATTCTGAGTGAAAGGGGAAGCTTTTTAAAGAGTTTGGGCAATGGAGTGATGTGGTCTGACAAGACTTAACAGGATCATTCTGACTGCTGAAATGGGAGTGAACTTAATAGGATCAAAGTTCAGGGTATAAACTGATAGGAGTTAATGGGCTATTAGAATAGCCAAAAGATTGTGAGGGCTTGGGTAGGAAGTGCTATATTAAGAAATGATTGGATTCTGTAATTAGTTTGATGGCAGAAACAACAGGATTTTCTCACAGTTTGGATGTAGGTGGTAAAAGACAGGTATCAAAAATGACATCAAGAATTTTGGTTGTATTAATGGGAGAGGTGAAATTACTATTCAGTGAGTTGAGAATGTATGAGAGGAGCAGAGTTCTTGGGGAGGGAGGGTCAGCTTGCTTATACTACATTTGAAATTCCTAACAGACGGCTATGTGGAGATGTCAAGAAGGCAGCTGAAGCCAGGGGTACTTCTAGAAAAAAATATGGAGATATATTACTGGAAGCCATTAATAAACATGAGACTAGATAAGACCATCAATGCAGTGAATGTAGATGAAAAGTACAGAGAATGATCCCTGGGACATGTAGAGCCCAAAAGATGAAGAGGAACAAGCAAGGGAGAAATAGATGGAGCAACCAGAGCTGAATGAAGAAACCCAGGAGAGTATTCAGGCCTAGAAGCCAAGGGAAGAAGTATCTTTAAGGGTGGAATGAGTAACTCATTGAGCAAGTGAGATGAGGACTGAGAATATATCATCAGACTTAAGAGTTTTGTGGAGGTCATTAGTGATCTTTTTCTTTTTGCAGTGCCGGGGGTTAAACCCAGGTCCTCACACATGCTAGGCAAGCACTGTACCACAACCCCAACAGTGATCTTGATAAGAGCAATTCAGTAGAATAGCATCAGTGAAAATATGACTGGTAAGGCTTAAGAGAGACAAGGTAAGAATGTCCTCACAATATTGAGGCAACAATTGCCAAATCTGATCCCCCTAAAACTATATTCCTCAGTTTCTCTTTGTCCCTGTTCTGCAATTGCAACAACTTTTAGTAGATAGAACAATGTAAGTGAAAAACCTGACACAGAAAGAAACATGATTTGTGCCTAAGCCAGTGAAGAGACAGAGCTGCCTGGATCTGAGCATGTTGCCTTCCATAGCATCTAATTTAACTGCATTTAGATTGGCCTTCCAAATCAGAGCCAGATCTGAAACTAGACCCACCCAATGAACTAGAGCAAAGACTACAGGAAATAGGCCTGACAGCAGGTCCTGGATGAAAGCTCCATTTGATAACAAGACCCCAGCGATTTATAGCCCATGATTTCCAGCAATAGGTCAGCAAACTAGCAAAATAGTTGTGTTACTGACTTAAAGAATCACTTAGTGAAACAGAAAACAGAAATGGCCAATATTTAGATATACAGGCAGACAAGTTGCCCATCTCTCTGGGGGACATGTAGGTGAAGTCTTCTACCTCAAGGGTGATGTGTAAGAGTAGCAAAGCCCAGACTAGGCCTCAGCCCTACAGAAACTGAGCTACTAAGTTACCAAAGTAGAAGCTAACCAAGAATGTATTTTAAAAATTGAGGTACTAGCCCTAACATTAATGTCCCCAACTATACAATACAAATATTAATGGACATGAAAAACCGAATAAGCACTAATACAATTGTAGTGGGGGACCTCAATATACCACTGTCACAAATAGATCATCTAGACAAAAAAAATCAACAATGAAATATTAGAACTGAACCAAGCTTTTGAACAAACAGATTTAATAGATATCTACAGAGTGTTCCACCCCACAAAATCAGAATATACATTCTTTTCAGCTGTATATAGGTCATTCTTCAAAATAGAGCACATGCTAGCTCATAGAACATGCTTAAGTAAGTGCAAAGGAATTGAAGTTATCCCCTGTATGTTATCAGACCATAGTGGAATGAAATTGGAGATCAATAGCATAAGAAACCACAAGAACTCTACAAACACATGGAAATTGAATAACACTCTCCTGAACAACCAATGGGTCACAGAGGAAATTAAAGAAGAAATTAGACAGTTAATGATAATTAAGTTAATTAAATGATAATGCCAATACAACATACTGGAATCTATGGGACACAAAGAAAGCAGTTCTATGAGGGACATTCATAGCAGTGAATGCCCATACTAGGAAAACAGAGCAAGCTCAAATAAACAACCTAATGCTGAACCTCAGTCTCCTAGAAGAAGAAGAGCATAACAAACCCAAAGCTCATACAAGGGAGGAAATTATAAAGATCAGAGCAGAAATCAATGCAATGGAGACTAAGAGAATGATATAAAAAAAAAATCAATGAATTGAAGAGTTGGTTTTTCAAAAGAATAAATAAAATAGATAAACCTTTAGCCAACCTTATCAAAAAAAGGAAAGAAAATGCCCAAATCCATGTAATTAGGCATGAAAAAGGTGAAGTCACAACATATCCAGAAGAAATCCAGAGGATCATCAATATCTACTTTGAGAACCTGTACTCTAACAAAATGGAAAACACAGAAGAAATGAACAGATTCCTAGATACATGGAATTACCAAAGTTGAATGAAGAAGATATAAAAATTCTAAACACCCCAATTACAAGCAGTGAAATTGAAAGTGTAATTAAAAATTTATTAGCAAAGAAAGCCCAGGTCCTGATGGCTTCGCTGCTGAATTCTACAAGACATTTAGAGAAGAACTATTGCCGCTATTCTTTAAACTCTTCAATGAAATTGAAAGGGAAGCAACACTTCCAAATTCATTCCTGGAAGCAAACATTACTTTGATTCCAAAAGCAGAGAAAGATTCAACCAAAAAAGAGAACTACATCTATGTTCCCTAGTGAACATAGATGGGAAAATCCTCAATAAGATACTAACAAACAGAATACAGAGGGTCATCAAGAAGATCATACACCGTGATCAAGTCAGATTTATCCCAGGGATGCAAGGATGGTTCAACATACATAAATCAATAAATGTAATACACTATATTAACAGAGCCAAGGAAAAACAACATATGATCATCTCAACAGATGGAGAAAAAGAATTCCACAAAATCCAACACCCATTTATGATAAAAAAAAAAAAAACCCTACAGAAAATTGGAATAGATGGTCTTTATCTTAACCTGATAGAGGCTAGCTATGAAAAACCAACAGTCAACATCATACTAAATGGTCAAAAACTGAAAACCTTTGGCCAGGGATTTAGCTCCATGGTGCCACCGCCTGCCTCACAAGCACAAGGTCTGGAGTTCAATCCCTGTTACCAAAAAACAAACAAACAACAACAAAAAAAAACCCTGAAAACCTTCACACTAAAATCAGGAACAAGACAAGGATGTCCACTATCACCACTCCTGTTTGATATAGTTCTGGAAACATCAGCCACAGCAATTAGACAAGAGAAAGAAATAAAAGGAATAAAGATGGGAAAGGAAGAAGTTAAACTGTCATTATTTGCTGGCAACATGATACTCTACATAGAAGACCCAAAAAACTCCACCAAAAGACTTCTAGATTTAATTGCCAGATTCAGTAGAGTAGCTGGATACAAGGTCAACACTCAAAAATCAATAGCCTTCTTGTACACAAATAACAGAATCACTGAGAGAGAAACTGGGGAAACAATTCCTTTCACAATAGCATCCAAAAAAATGAAATATCTAGGAATCAATCTAACAAAGAAAGCAGAAGATCTTTACATTGAAAAATACAGCACTCTGAGAAAAGAGATTGAAGAGGATATAAGAAAGTGGAAAGACATCCCTTGCTCCTGGGTAGGAAGAACCAATATAGTGAAAATGACCATAATTCCAAGACTGCTATATAGATTCAATGCAATCCCAATTGAAATTCCAACAGTATATTTCAAAGAACTAGAGAAAACAATCCAAAAATTCATTTGGAACCAGAAGGGACCTACAATAGCAAAATCAATACTAGGCAACAGAGACATGACAGGGGTATCCCGCTCCCCAACTTGAAACTATACTACAAAGCCACTGTGATAAAAACAGCATGGTACTGGGAAAGAAACAGACCCGAGGATCAGTGGAATAGATTAGAAGATGTAGAAACAACTCCAGACATGCTCAGCCACCACATCTTTGACAAAGGAGCCAACCATCCTCACTGGAGGAAAGATGGCCTCTTTAAAAATGGTGCTGGAAAAACTGGATTTCAACTTGCCAAAGATTAAAACTAGACCCCTATCTTTCACCATGCACTGAACTAAAATCAAAGTGGACTAAAGATCTAAATATTAAAACAGAAAAACACTAAACTTGCTGGAAGATAAGCTAGGTAGAACTCTTGAAGACATTGGCATAGGAAGACTTTATGAACAAAACCTCAGTAGCACGGGAACCAGCACAAAGAATCAACAACTGGGATCTCATCTCATTAAAAAGTTTCTCTTGGGGGGCCAGGGATTTAGCTCAGTTGTTCTGCTGCCTACCTCAAAAGCACAAGGTCTGGAGTTCAATCCCCAGTACCAAAAAAAAAAAAGTTTCTGTGGGCCAGGGATTTAGCTCAGTGGTTCCACCACCTGCCTCAAAAGTGCAAAGTCCTGATTTTGATCCCCACTACCAAAAAAAAAAAAAGCATCTGCACTGCAAGAGAAACCACCAACAGAGCTAAGAGACAACCTACAATGTGGGAAAAAGATTTTATCAGCTGCTCCTCAGACAAAGGTCTCTATCTAGAATATATAAAGAACTTAAAAAAATCAGACCTCCCAAATATAAAGACCCAATTCAAAAATGGGCATCTGAAATGAACAGCCATTTCTCAGACAAAAAAGTAAGAGCAGCAAATAAACATATGAAAAAATGTTCAACATCACTGGTCATTCAAGATATAAAGATGAGAACAATACTGAGATTCCACCTCACCCCAGAAAGAATGGCTGCTATCATGAAATCAACCAGTAACAAATGCTGGCGGGGGTGTGGGGAGAAAGGAACCCTTCTCCATTGTTGATGGGAGTGCAGACTGGTGCAACCACTGTGGAAATCAGTAGGGAGATACCTCAAAGAATTAAGGCTAGGGTCCCATTTGACCCAGCTATTCCCCTGCTGGGTATCTTCTCCAAATAATTAAAAGAATCATACCACGGCAATATATGCACACCCATGTATATAGCAGCACAGTTTGTAATAGCTAAAACTTGGAAACAGCCCAAATGCCCATCAACTGGAGACTGGATAAAGGCATGGATTTTTTTATGAAATAGAGTACTACTCAGCCATAAAGAATGAGAAACTAGAGACATTTATAGCTAAATGGATGCACATTGAGGCCATACTCTGAAGTGAAATAAAAAAGACATACATGTGTATGAGAAACTAAGGGTGAGAAGCTAAAAGTGTAAATAAGGATCAAAATGTACAATTGATAATGTGAAATAGGTAAAAAAGGTCTAAAGGGGTAGGGCAAGTGGGAGCAGTAGGGGAAAGGAAGAAAATATGAGAAAAGGAAAAAAAATGGAAACAAAGTCTTTGTAAAGAGGGAGGGGTGGAGGGGTTGAAGGGAGAGCAGGGGAATGAGGAAAGAATAAGAAGCAAGACATATCATGTAAAGGTACAAGTACCCAGTGATGAATGTGACTGTACTGTATACCTAAAATGTACCCATAAAAAATGAAAAAAATTGAGGTGCTAGGTAGGAAGTAGATTAATACATTTGAACTAGCATTAAAATTAATGTTGCCTACTTAGGAAAGAGAAAAAAATTGAAATAAGTTTGGTGAGTCTACTTTCCAGAGGGTCCTAAAATCTAGGCAATTAGTATTGTGCCCTCCAGCCTGGACTTTCCACTTGGGCTTTTTCAGCATTCATGGCCAGTATGCCATGGGTTAGGAGTTTTATGCATTTTAGCTGTCTAAAAGGGAATATTGTGAAGCCAATGAACTAAAAACAAAAAACAAACAAACCTAGAGCTTTAGGGTTAGAGGGTTTTTAGAGGTCACCTTATTTCACAAATAACAGAGAACTTCATTTCTAAAAAGAGCTCAAGGTAAGCTATTGATAGGAGTTTAATAAGCTCATCTAGGTCAGTATGAAGTGAGTATAAGAAATGGGTTTCATCCTCATGATTTTACCCTCTTAGGGACAACAGATTTGCACATGTAAAACTGTCATTGAACAAAACTGTTAAGTACACTTTCTGTATTTACCGCTGTTAGGTCTGTAGACCTGTACTAGTCTGTGAGGTGTATGGACAAATAAGAGAAAGCAAAGGCTTAGAAAATTTCACAGCAATTTGACAGGGTAATTTTAGGTCTGTTCATCTAACAATTTATCAATTGTTTATGGTTTTTTTGCATTTGTTCCTGTTTTTATTTTAATTTCCTAGAAATTAGTTTTGTTGCACTTTTATGGAAATGTAAAAAGAAAAAAAATTTAAGCCAAATGTGGTGGTGCACACCAGTAATTCCAGCACTCAAGAAGTTGAGACAGGGGATTGCCATGAGTTCAAGGCCAGCTTAGGCTACATAGTGAGTTCAAGACCAACATGGACTATATTGCAAGAACCTGTCTCAAAAAAGAAAAAAAAAAAGGAAAGAAAGAATGAATGAATTCAAAACTGGTCATTTGCCATAGATAGTTTGAAAGCACCAAGATAGACGGTAAGTACTTTGGGAGTCCAGAGCAAGAGGAAATCAGTATACCATGAAGTTACTAGGAAAAAGAGAGCTTTGAAATCTGTAACGCTGCTATTGTTATTTCAAGATATTTTGGAAGGCTGATATGAAAAAAAGGATCTAAGTGCTTCACAATTCCATTGAAATTATTCTAGAAAACATGTTTGTTTTCAAATGGAAAAAATTCATGCTTTTAATTTGTTTGTGGGGTGGGATGGTGGCTTTCTCTTTTAAGGTTGGGGCATTTTACCATCTGAATCGATAAAGGCAGTGACCAGAAGGAATGAAATGATTCAAAGGCACCATACTGCCAGGTAACAATGTTGTTTTATATACTTTCTATTTATTCACTGTTCATTTCTTTTATATATAAAACGAATGAATGTGCATATGTAACAAGTGACTACACACACATAGTTATACACACCATGATTTCTTACAGAAAATATTTCAAGCAGACACAAAAAGAAACATACAAACATCTACACAGGTTGGCTAATGATAAAAGTAAGAATAAAAACCACATAATGAAGCTAACAGTAGTATTAGGCTACAGACTGTAATCGTTCATCAATGTCCCATAATTAAAATTTCCAGCTATGATTCCTCTGAAATTCATATTGGCATTTCTGTCTTAAATTTAAGACTTCAGTTCTGCCAGAAGACAGGAGCCAAGTTTTCCAGTCCCCACTTCAAACTACATTGTCAGAGTGCAAACAACGTAGTATCAGTCCGAGACTGGCCTTCATCTATAGCAACCAGGACAATAATGACTGGGATATGGCCCCAGGGTGAAAGAAGGAATAGTCAATTTTCTCATGACTGAACCCTAAGGAATCCAGGTGATGACCATTAAACAAAGTGAAGTAAGCACAAACACAAGCAAATCTTCAGCCACTCACATTGACTTACAACCACTAAGACCTGCACTGAGTAATTGTTTTTCGAGTCTTGTTAAGATTGCTTTCAAAGGGTTTTAGAACTTCCTCCCAGTCCTTTAGTCTCTTTGAAAGTTAATGTCTACACTGCACCACCTGCACCCCTGCTAAATTGGCACCATATATTTATTAGAAGTCACTTTCTGAAGACTTGGATTTCCATAATAAGATTCAGACAAACCCTTCACTTTCAGATCTTCCTCCAAAGTCTCCCTCCCATTGGCTTTGTGGAGAATTCCTGTTTCTACCAAACAAACTTCAGATAAGTAGTGAGTACAGGAAATGTAGAGATGCTGTCTTAGGGAAGGCAATAAAATGATATTTCTAATGGTTTCTTTTTTGTTGTTGTTGTTATGCACGTATTGTTTTATTTTTAGATCAGAACTAGAAATGTATACTATTTACCAGCAAAGAAGAATGGAAAAAATGAATGCCAAGGGACTAGCTGGCCTAGGGGTACCATTTCTCTACAGTTCTAGCTTCCAGGCCGGCTCAGCCACTTATCATGGCAGGAGCATGCTCCCTGCCAGCAACCTGCAGTTTCACAGAAGTGCCCTCAGGCACCTTCAGGAAAACCCTGTTCTCTTGGCAACCAGATCACACATTATAGAGAGGTGGGGGCAGAAATATCGACCCAGGAGAGGCACAGGGAATCAGAAGCCTCTAGACAGTGATACCGAGAGTTCCAAAAGTCAAGCAGAAGAAAAAATCCTAGGCCAGATGCCTGCAATTCCCTATGAAGAAGATGAGTATGCAAAAGACTCAGAGATTGAAGTATGCCACAATCAGAAGTCAAGTGAAACCAACGAAAAGCCAACACCACCTCGTACCAACCCCCGTGGAGCTCTCCAGCCCAGCCAAAAAAACCCCTGGGGTGTTCACACCACTCCCCTGGAGGCAAAGGCCTGGGACTGTGGGAAGGAGGAGGCTGCAGAGCAGGGATCTGAAGACTGTAGTGAAGAGAATGGGGGTTGCGCTTCAGTTCCTCCACCACGTCTGTCAGGTGGGTGTTCAGGGGCCATGAGCAGATGCCCAACAACCGCAGGTTTTCGAGTCCTTGCCTTATTACCCAGAAGGCTGCAAGTATCAAGCCTCACTTTATCTTTGTTTTACTTAATCCTATTTAGAATGGATTCTTCTTGAAGTCATGTTATGATATCACTTCTAATGAGCTATGTTAGTGACACTAGTCTGTATTTTTGCTAAATAGAGAACTTTCGGCAAAGGGTGAGAAGGCAAGTATGGGCAAGTACGAGCAAAACCTACCAGAATCTTAAATTAAATTCCTAATTTAATTTACTGTTAATTTCTCAGTACAAAACAAAGGGGCCTTTGCTTAAAAGTATGAATTCTACCTCCCTGTATAGGTATAGGAAAAAAATAGCCACTGAATCAGAGCCTTTACCTTTCAGTGTCTATTACTATTGTGATACCCTGTAATCTAAAGTATTGTCTCACTACTCCTCAAAAACACACACTGAATACTCTCTCAGGACTTATTTTTTTTTAAAGCTGGTATGGGGCATGGTGGTGCACACCTGTAATCCCAGCACCCAGGAGGCTGAGGCACAAGGATCACCATGAGTTCAAGGCCAGCCTGAACTACATAGTGAGACCCTGTCTCAAAACACTAAAGAAAATAAATTTTAAAAATAGAAACAAAATGGGGGAAGTGTTTAATCTAGCCACCATACCAGCTGCTTCCCCACAAAGTTTTAGCTTGCTATTCTTATGAAGGTGTAACTAAATTCTTACCTCACCTAGAGAGCATTGTAGACACAATATCACACAACATAATAGTGTTGTGAAATCCACAGGGCCTTTCTCCTGAAATCTGAGGAAAGATGCAGCAAATCTGGAATTCTTTCTCTCTTGTAATAATGCTGTCATTGAGGTTCCTTTCAGAGGAGGAAAAGAAAAGCAGCAGCTAAACTTTTAGAAAAAAATCTCTCAATGACTCTGAGTATCTGTCTATCAGGGAAATTACAAATGCTCATGCATGGAAAGACACTCTGTGATGGCAGACTTAAGGAACTTTATATCACCATACATAAACCTGTGCTCTAAGCATCCCCTTTTTCTGGAAACTTTATACCACAGAATAATTGCCTTTCCATTTTTTTTTTTTTTGGTACCAGAAATCGAACTCAGGTCCTTGCGCTTGCAGGGCAGGCAATGGAACCACTGAGCTAAATATCGGGCCCTGCTTTTCCATTTTAAAGGGACACTCGCCCTGGTTCCACCTGAGGAAAACCTTCCTTTGGATGCAGATATTCAGAAATGGACCGTGGATGACGTGCATGACTTCATCAGAAGCCTGCCAGGCTGTTCAGACTATGCCCGGGTAAGTTAATATTTAAGCATTTTCATAAAATTAAAAGCTTAAAATATATTTCCTGTATAATTAGTTTTTTCAGGCGTGTACTTTATTCAGGGAGGATTCCTGCTAATCTCCCACCCTCACGTTGTTATCTCCTCGAGACAGGTGCCTCTGATTGGTGGACAAGGGCCACCTGCCTGCCATCGAGGGAGGCTGGGAGCGTCACTGTAAAGCTTTAGTTTCTGTCCCATCAAGACTCCTGAGAAATGGGAATTTTTCCAAAATTAGAAGGTTTAGAGGTCAAAAAGCTAAACGAATGAGAAATGCTTGCTACATTCCCTAATCATACATGTAACAAACATATTCAGAGCACATACTTCGGTATCAAAAGTTTTAGGCCATTCATCCTAAATAACAGAAATATTATACTTTCTTCTACAGAATACAAGGGGGAAAAGAATTGGAAAGTAGGAAATTAACTATTTATTACTGTTTTATTTTATGTTATTTTACTTTACTTATTTTTTGCTGTGCTAGAGATTGAACCCAGGGTCTTATGCTTGCTAGGCAAGTGCTCTATCACTGAGTGACATCCCTAGCTCCTTAACTATTTTTAAATTCTAGATTTGTGCTGAGTGATATATAAAAATGCACACACACATCATTCAATCTGGTATATAAATATTTCTAAAAATTATTTTTAAAAAATTTTCAAGACAGATGGAAAGGAAATCAGCCTCAATTATACAGAAAAACTGGTGATGAATATCATAGATTGTAGTTTTTGAAGTTTATGTCAATGCTACATTTTTATACAGTTTATTTTTGAGTGTTTTAATAACAATTTTAAGCAACAAAGTGCCTACTAAATTTTTGGTTTACATATTAAAGGAAAAGAAAACAAGAAAAGGAGTTTATGGCTAAATTGCCCCCCCCCTTTTTTTTTGAGGCAGAATCTGTAGTCCAGGCTGTCCTTAGATTCACTATGTAGCCCATGCTGGCCTTGAACTCACAGCAATCCTCCTGCCTCAGCCTCTCAAATGCTGGGATTCAGTCATGAACTATCATGACCAGTTTAATTGTTTTATTATTAACTGGTACTAGAGCTGACATTTTTCAGATCTGTTTTTCTTTATTTGTTTGTTTTGAGACAAGGTCTCACTTTGTAGTGGAGGCTGGCCCTGAGCTCACTATGTAGCCCAGGCTGGCCTTGAACTCAGGTGGATCCTCCTACCTCAGCCTCCCAAGTGATGGGATTATAGGTGTGCACCACCAAGCCTGAAAGCAACCCTTTGTGTCATAAGTGTGTGATTGCTGACATTGGTGAGCTACATTTATTGGAACTTTGATTATTATTAATGAGTGATCCATAGTTATAAAAGTACAGTTAAAAATAAAAACTTTTGCAATCATGTTACATCTATTTTACACTTTAGAATCTTTACTGGCCAGCTTTCCATTGCTGGGACAAAATACCTGACACCTGCAGCTTGAAGGAGGAGAGGTTTGTTTCAGCTCACAGTTCCAGAGGGTTCACTTGACTGGTGGCTGCAAGGCAGAGACATTATGGCAGAGGGGATGGTGGAGGAAAACTGCTCAATTCTTGGTGTCTGGGAAGCGGAGTGGATTGGACAGAGCCAGAGGAAGGGGCCAAGGACCAGACACAGTCCCCAGAGTCACACCCTGGTGTCCCATTTCCTCTCTAAGGCCTGGAATCCTAATAGCCCATTCAACTCTGATGGGATCTAATCACCTCTCTTAGAGTTTCTTAATCCAGTCCATTTGACGATGAAGGTTAACAGCACAAAATCCCAAACATCCCCTTGTAAATGATGCACAGAAATCTCGTAAACACGCATCCCCCAAACTCTGCTGACTTGCTCTCTCTCACCATCAGGATGGCAGCACCCCCTAGAAATGACATCAGTTATTTCTAGATGTTTCTCGAATGTGAGAGGAACACATTTTAAAGTCTTCTCCCTTCAAGCTGCTGCAGGTGACATCAATTGTGAGGCTCAGCTGCACTATCGTGCATTTCCCAGTGCTGGCCCCAACTGAGTGCAAAAGCGCTGATGCACCGCTGTCTGCCCACAACTCTCGAGAGGACCCCCACCACAAATGTCCATCAGCTCACGCTGACAGCCACCTCTTTACAAAGGTTGACCATGCCCCCGGGACTTTGGAAGTTACATCCACTGCCTTCCCTTCTGTCCTCTTCCTCCCCGCTTCTCTGCCTTAGATGCTCCTCAGCAATGTCCAACCACCAGCCTCCTGCAGGTAAAACAAGAAATTTAGAGAAAAAAATTTTTAAAGACTACAACTAAAACCCAAAGCTCCCACACCACAAGTGAACTCTTTAAACAGACATAGTGAGAGGATTGGTGGCTCAGCTACTTAGGGACATACAGGTCCTGAAACACATTCACATACTGAATGACTGTCTAGTTCAGAGAATCTAGCATATAAAATGTTCTATCTCTAAAAATAACTGAACTTACTAAAATATGTGCACATTTATATCCTGCACATGGCCCAAACTGATCTGATGAAAATGAAGGGGACACATCTCAGGGACAAGGATGTGTTCTGTGTCCTTGTCCCAATCCCCCTGTATAGTTGCCATGGCTGGGGTTTAGGCCTTCACACAGTTCAGTCCTGGCTGCCAACCTCCTGAAAATTTATCCATGGGTTTCTCCTTCTTCGGACACTTACAAAGGAAAGATAAATGAGGTGAGATTTCCACCACCAATATAATTAGCCACTTTCATCAGCACCTCTTTTCCTACATAGCCATTGGATATAGAAGGAAACATCCTGGATCAGAATCATGAAAAATAGCTCATTTTACAAGCTCTCTTACTATGTGTCTTGGGTAACTCAACAGTTTGTACATTGGCTCTGTCACTTATAAAAGCTAATAAGAATAATACCTACTCATCATGTAGTGTGGACTGTGTGACAGGCACTGAAAGTATGGTTGAAAAAAATGATGAATGTTTACATTTTTTTTAAAAGTGTATTACACGGGTCGGGGATTTAGCTCAGTGTCACCATGCCAGCCTAGCAAGTGCAAGGTCCTGAGTTCGGTCCCTGGTACCAAAAAAAAAGTGTGTTACAATAAAAGCCACATTACCATTAATCCCCCACCACATACTCCCCCTCACCCTGAATACACTTATCCCATCATTCTTGCCACTTCTTAAAGATGCAGTTCTGGAAGTCCTCTTTCATGAACGTCATTAATCACACTATTATGGCTGCCTCAGTGTCCTGCAATGACTCAAAATGTTTACTGTTGGTGGTCATTTTGTCTTTGATGAAGAGCCAGGAGTTGCATGGTGCCAGGTGTGACAAATAAGGTGAATGAGGAGGCACTGTAATGTTTTGTTGGGGGTTTTTTGGCACCGGGGATTGAACTCAGGTCCTTGTGCTTGCAGGGCAGGCGGCAGAACCACTGAGCTAAATCTCCAGCCCTGTGATGTTTTTAATGAGCCTGCTTTTCCTTTGGATAGTGGTTGGCAGCAGCATTCATTGTATTTTTTTATCACAACAAAGACATGAAAGGGGACTTCCAGAACTGCTTCAGAAAGTGACAAGAATGATGAGATAAGTGTTTTCAAAGTAAATGGGAATATTTTGAGGGGAATTAATGTCAATGTATCTTTTATTGTAATAAATTTTTAAATTTAAAAACACAGTGTTGTTCGGTCTGTCCTTATAATTTAGATTATCTTTTAAATATAATTTGTACCAGAATTCTGCAAAAACACTTAACCCTATTTTGTAGCCAAGTAAACTGAGCAACAAGCTGGCTAAAAGATAAAGTGTATGGGACCACAAATCTATCTCTTTTCATTACAACCACTCTTCACTGAAGATAGTAGGCCATGTGATTTCCAGCCAGATACCTGTGCCCCTAGAAGTTCACAAGTCGTCAGGTTGATGGGCTGACTAGTCAGGCTAGTGACAGTTTATTCCCTGGGGAGCCAAGAACTGGTCTTTAGCTCTCTCCTGGCTAAAGACCACCTGATCTTAGTTTTGTCATGGCTAAGACGTCGAGCACTGGATTAGTCAGTATTTATGATTATACAACATAGCAAGGGGGCGTGAAGGCAGATGTAGGGAATAGCAGAACTTATGCACTTAATGAACCAGGCTTGGAAAAGGGAGTAAGTATGTATACTTGTGAAGGCCAGGTCACAGTTAACAAGACACCTGTGCTATCTTTCAGGTCATAGCTAACAAGCCACTTGCATTATCACGCTAACGTTTGATCTTGGAGAATGGTTGCACAGAGTCATAGTTCCTCAGCTGCAGTGTTTCCTTGCTATAGAGATGTCACAACCTCATGAATCATTGAGACCTCAATTGTGACTGTTGGCATAGGGAAGTCTTATCTCTGTACATCAGCTGAAAGGTCAATCAGCAATTCACACTTAGACTTTGGAGTGACTCGTCATCTTAATAGCCAAATTAATAAGCCAAATCAATAATATCTAAAACAGACTCAGTGCAGTTTCAAGCTGGTAAGGAGTTCACAAAAGAGACACTTAAATTGTTTTCAATATTTCAAAGAGACACTTCTAAGAGAAATCATACATTTCCCCAAGATGAGGCTGCACCCATCAGCCAACTTTTTTTACTTTGACCTAAATTCCATTAATTATATTAGCCATTCTACCATTTGCTTCATTGAAATAGGAAAAGAAATAATTACTTAATAAATAAAGTTTGTAAATGACTCAACTCTATTACAACACAGGTGCTGGTCCAGGAGATTCCCAAAAAGATTCTATTTTCTGGCCGGTCCTGAGGCATAGCCCTCTGAAATAGGGGCTGAATAGGGCAAATGTGACACATGTGGCTCCTCTTCTCATGGAGCCCATAGTCCCAAAGTGGGAACCAGCACATGACATCACATCACCAGGGACATGCTATAAGCAGGGAGCCCATGGCATGGTGGGAACACACAGAAGGAAATCATGGCCTCTTGAGACAGGGGCCTCTAATATGAGACTGGAAGGTAAGGTAGGGAGCAGAAGGAGGATGGACGTTACAGAGGAACGTTGAAGTTAAGGCCAGAAGCCAGAGAGAATTTACCATGGTTGGAGATAGAAAGGGCCAGATCACAAGGAGCTTGAAGACCTAGGATAGGATTATGGGTTTATTCTAGAAGCACTGAAAATTTTAAGCCTGCACAATTTGCTTTATACTTCAGAAATTATCACTCAGGTTGTTTTTGTGAGAATGGACTGAATGGAACAAGATCAGAACGCAAGTCTAGGAGCAGTGGGGCAGGCAGATAAAAATACTACCTAAGGGCCAGAATTGATAGGACTTAGTTTCTAAGCTAAAGATATGCATATTAGAGACCCCTTCAGCAAGCAGAGATTGTCACATTCAGGAAGGAACTATGAACAATGTGAAATCCAGCCAAGAATTTAACAAATAGAAGAAACAAAAACTGGAAAATGTCCAATGTTCAGTACAGCAGAGGAACCAGGGAGGCTGAGGAGAGCGGGTTTAATGGAAGGGGCAGAGGAGTCAGACCTCAGACCCCTGAAACTGAAGAATGACCAGGAAGTAAGAACAAGCAAGAGAGCATCCAACCCCTTTAAGAAACATTGCTGTGGAGGGGATGAGAGACATGAGCAGAATCTAGAGCTAGTGTATGTGTTGTTGTTGTTGTTGTTGTTGTTTTTATTCATTTAATTATAGTGGAAATTAGTTACATGCTAATGAGGAAAAGCCAGAAGAGAACAGATTGGCAACAAAAGAGGAGATTTTCTATTGAGCGAGGCTCCAAACTATGTGTGTATTGGGGTGGAAGGATGAAGATCCATGTAAACAGGGAGAGACTGTCTTTAAACCACAGAGGGACCCCTCTTCCATTAAACAGGATAGTGGGAGAAAATATAGTTTTTAGGTTCATTGTTCATATTTACAGGAGTTCTTATCTGCTGGTTTCTTTTACTTTTCTTTTTCAAGTTAGGAAATTATGTGATCTCCTAAAAATGAGGAAGGACTCTTTAGGGTCTAAACTTGGAGGAGGGTAGAGAAGGCTTAAAAATAGAAAGAGAGATAGCTCATGAGTGAATATAAAAGGATTGCCAGCCAGGTTGACAGTGGAGATCATAACACTGTGGTCCTACCAATCTGTCCTACCAATCTGGAACCTTTGTCCATCAACAGCCTTCTGAGATTTTGGAAAAAGGAAGGCATGGAAACATCCATGATGGATCAGAACAAATGGGCCCTGCTGGAAAGGTCCAGGGTGACCACTGTCATCTGAATTTCCTCTCCTCTCCTTACCATACACATATGTCTAGTCAGTGGACAGAAGACACTGCATCTGCAAAGTCAAGAGACAACATTGGTCTGTGCCTTAGATACTTTTTGTGTTACTGAGACAAAATAGCCAATACCTAAAGTTAAAGGAGGAAAGGTTTATTTCGTCTCATAGTTTGTAGAGGTTTCAGTCTATAATCAGCTGGCTCCAAGGCAGAGTGGCATGGCAGATGGGGATCAAAGAGTAGGCAGGAGGCAGCAGAAGACAAGCAGCAAAGCAGTAAGTGACAACAGCAGCCTTTTTTCTGTCTCATATTTTATCTAGGCTACAGGAGGATAGCACTCACACCCTTAATCCTAGCATTGAACCATGAATCAATTCCAGCATCACATCCTTGTTGCCAGCATCACACACCCTAGATCCAGCTACCTCTGAAAAGCCCCACCTATGACCGCATAAACCTTTGGGAGAACATCTAGATATAAGCCATAAGATTCCACCACAGCCTCCCAAAGACTCATGTACATCCCTTTGTGTAAAAGACATTTAGTCCATCTCTAAGAGTTGTCAAAGTCCTAACAGTTTCAGGATTGCTGAAAAGTCCAAGTCCAAAGTCTCCTCCAAGACTTAAGGCAAACTCAGCTGTGAGCCCCTGAGCAAATGAAAAGAAATTTAAATACCTCCGATATACAATGGCTCGAGATAGACATTTCCATTCCAAAAAGTACAAAGAGGGGAATAGGAAGGAATGGGAACAAAGCAAGACCAAAATCCAACAGGGCAAACATTAAATCCTATAGTTCCATGTCTATAATACCCTGCACTCTGTGGCAAGTTGTGAAACCCAAAGGGATTCAGCGGCTCTGCCCCTATAGCATTGCCCATGATTGTAGCTCTCATGACCTCTCTTTTGGGCCACCTCTGCTCCTTCCTTGCAGTTTTCCTCACACAATCCATGTACCTGGCTTCTTCCAACTTCTGGGGTCTCCACTGCATCTTTGGCTTCACACTCACAGCTTCACACACTGCCTTCTCAGGGGCACACTGCCTGGTCTCCCAGACCTTCTTCTGTAATCTGGGTGGAAGCCTTCCTGAACCCACAACACTTGCATTTAGTATGCACTTAAAACCAGCACCATATGGATGATACCAAGGTCTGCTGCCAGCTACAGCACCAGCCAAGCTTTCTTCTTTCTTGGCTGTGGAGGTTGAGTGCCTATAAACCAAATCCTGAGGACCAACTTCCCTAGGCTGCTGCCATTCTGGAACATGATGCTCTGGGGCTCTCTTCTCAAGGCAAAGTCTTTCACTTTTGCAATTTTGAGGCTGCAAAAGGTGGAGTCCTGCCAGTTCTTGTGATGTCCTCAGACCATCTTTGTATTGTCCTCTTCTGAAACACTTGGCTTTTTCTCACTAGTCTTTTCAGTGACCAATTTCTCTTCTGTTCCATCTTTGCAGGCTGGAACTTTACTGGAGCTTCCTTTCTGGCCAAACTCAAAATGTTTTAAATCTTTCTGCTGGGCTCTTTACTCTTGATTCTCAATATAGATCTGGCTAAAAGGCCTGAACAGTAGCCATGCCACAGCCTCAACATTAGACTGTTTTGAAATTTCTTCTACAAGATTAATCAGTCTGCTGCCCTTAATCTCAACCTCCACCAAAGTCTCTGGACATGAGCAAAATGCAGACAAACTTTCTGCCAAGGCATAACACACATTGTCTGGAGTCCAACAGCCAATGTAGTCCTTCCCAGCAAAATCCTCCTGAATCTGGTCTTTTCTGACAGCATTTCTATCAGCATACTGATCTTTTGAGCTCTAACCAGAATCTCCCATCAAGTACAGCTTAAAGCTTTCAGCCACATTACTTTACTCAGAGTATTTTCCCATTGATAAAACCAATCCAGCAATGTTTATTGCATATCTTCTTATTGTACATATATGACACTGCATAGGGATACATAGGTAAATAAAACATATACTCTAAGAGTATAAAAAATAGATAGGTAAATAAAACATATACTCTGACCTCAAACAATAACTATTCCAGGTTGGAATTGAGTTATATAAGCAGAGAACAGTCTACTCTAAATGTTATTAAAGAGCACAAATAATATGCCATTGGAGCATAAAAAAAGAGTGCAACTAAAAATAAATTTTAGGCTGAGGACTTAACTCAGTGGTAGAGCATTTACCTAGCATGCATGAATCCTTGTGTTCAATTCCTACTACCACAACAAAAAAATAAGTACAATAAAAATAAAGGTTTGTGTGTGTGTATGTCATCATCAAACTGTCTGAACATTTCTACATATACTAAAATATCTGTAAATAAAATAAGAACTTAAAAAAATTTGGACAAAGTCAATGTCTTTTTTTTTATAAGATATTTAAAGATCATGCAATTGATGGAGAAACTTTGCTGTTACTCAGAGAGGAGCACCTTCGAGGCACCATGGGATTGAAGCTGGGACCAGCACTAAAAATTCAATCGCAGGTATGTGATTTCACCTAACTATGTACTTATGGTAGAAGCTTGGAGAAATATGTCTATTTACAAAAGAGTAAATAGCAGTCCTTTTAATACACAAAATAAATCATGTCACTCTTCTGTTCAAAACCCTGCATAGTTCCCCATTTCCTTCAGAGTCAAAGCCCTATATCTTTGGCATTCCTCCCAACCAACTACCATCTTCACCCACCTAGCCTCACTTTCCACTTTCTTTCCTTCCAACCTCTACTCTTGTTCACTTTCCCCTGGTTGCTCTTTGAGTGCTGGGGCATGCTCCTTGCTAGGCCCTGCCCAATGGCTGTTTCCTTTCCCCGGGATGCTCTTTCCCTGACATCCTCACTCTTTGCCCCTTATCTTCATCTTTGCTTTTGTGTGCCTTCTCCCTGAGGCTTATCTGATCAATCTACTTAAAATTATACACACTCCTGATATCCCTCTCCCCTCATAGCACCTATCATCTTCAATCATAAATGTAATCTCATTTGTTATATTCATTGTCTAATGTTGATTTCTCTTTACCCCATTAGAATGTAAGCTTTTGAGAAAAGGGATTGTTATGTTTTGTAGGTTGATGGCTCCTTTGAACATTCAAGACCCATAATAGGTCAATAATTATTTTTTGAAAAAAAATGACCTTCCTGGGCCGGGGATTTAGCTCAGTGGTTTCACTGCCTGCTGCGCAAGCACAAGAACCCGAGTTTGATCCCCAGTACCCAAAAAAAAGACCTTCCTAAAAGTGAATTTAAAAAGCAGAAACTAATTTGTCCCAGAATTTATATAGAACTATACTTATTTAAAATATATGGGTTTAGGGCCGGGGATTTAGCTCAGTGGTGCCACCGCCTGCCCCACAAGTGCAAGGACTCGAGTTCGATCCCCAGTACCAAATACAATATATGGGTTTTTTTGGTTTTTGGGTTTTTTGGTACCAGGGATCGAACTTGAGTCCTTGCGCTTGCAAGGCAAGCGGCAGAACCACTGAGCTAAATCCTCGGCCTACAATATATGTTTTTGCCAGGAGCTGAATTTTAAGAATGTCCTTCAAAAATCATTTTTTGTCTAAAAATTTTAAGGTAGAGAAATTCCTTCTTTTTGAAGTAAATGCTTTAACGTTTCCTTTTTTTAACTTTTTATTTTGGAATAATTTTAGAGACAGTGAAATTTCAAAGATAATGCACAGAGTTCATCCAGCTTTCCCCAAAGTTAACATTCCACATAACATGGCACACTGCTCAAAATTAAGAAATTAACATTGGTAAAATGTTTTTTAAACGATTCATTTTTCTTTACTTGAGGATACTCTGTATCTTGGCATACTTACAATGACACTTCATGGGATTTCTTTTCAAATGGAGTTGGCTTTGATTTATCACTCACTTTTGAGGTCCCATCTGACAGCTCACACACTTCCCTAAAGCTCTGCCTAGCTGCTGTATCCCAGGCACCATTTACCAGCATGACAGGACAAGCCTCCCACAGAAGCTGAGAGAAAGGCTCAATTAAGGCCAGACATCAATCAAACAGGGTAGTCATAGGGTCCTGGAGACTGGGAATTGAAGCAGTAGAATTGGAAGCCTCTGAGTAGCATCTGGAATTCTAGAAGGTGAACAGGCAAGAGTTCGTCGCTGGTTAAGATGACAATGTCTCAACCTCCAAAATGGAGATTGAGGGGAAATCTCTAAGGTACCAAGCACTGCCAAGAAGGAAGCCCACCCCCAGAACAGAAACTCAGAAGGTAGATGGGAATGGGGGATACAAGAAAAGGGTGGGAGAAGGAAAAAAATTACTGGGATTTGGGAACTCAGATATATTAGCAGAATGGAAGCAACTTTCAATTTGAGCTGTGACAATGAAGCCTGGGTTCCACCCAGGGTCAGCTTTGTAGCAAAGGCAACTGAAGCCCTGTGTAGGATCCCAAAGCAATATGGTTTATGTCTTCCTGGTGATTTGCTGGGTGAAAAAGTTACCTAAAGAATTCTTGCCTCAGTCAGGAGAAGGACTGGTTGACTATTAATGGAGGTGTGATGGGATGTCTGTGGGATCTCTTGTGGGACCACAAAAGAACGGCCAGATGGGGTAAACTTAGAGTGAAATCACTTAGTCCAAATGAACTACAGCAAACCAGGTGGGGGAAATAGAAGTCAGAGCCACCCTGATACACAGTTTTAAAGCTGTAAATACCTTCTGATTCTGAGAAAAAGAAAAGCCCCACCACATACTAGAATTGTGACCTGACAACTCTATGCTTCATGCTGACAATTACCTCAGCGTTTGTACCATCTGTGGCTAAACTGGGTTATTGAAAGAATTCACAAACTTAATTACTATAATTATTTTGTCTTCAAAGATATCTCAGCATGTGAGAAGTATGCTCAACAAGAAAACTCTTTCACTTTCTACCCATACAAGACAAGTGTTGGATCAACCAGCAGATACAGCCCCTCTTTTGGATTTTAATTCCTGGAGTGATACATTAAGCATTCCTTGTTCTCAGGATTAATAATTCCTAAAAGAATTGAGCAAGATAATATGAGAAATTGAAGATCCTCAAGAACCAAGAACAGGGCCAGGGATTTAGCTCAGTGGTGCTGCCACCCCACCCGCAAACGCAAGGACCTGAGTTCGATCCCCGGTACCAAAAACAAAAAACAAAAAACAAACCAAAAAAACCCCAAAAGAACCAAGAACAATCTTCACCAGTTCTCAAAAAAATCTAAGTATATTAGCAAGGGCATGTAAGAGGACAGAATGGAGGTGAAAGAAAGCCAGCCATTTTAGGGCTGTTGAGGAAGAGATCCAAACACCCAGCTTCCTGCCAGGGCTGCAGTGACCTAGCACCAAGAGGCTAGAGAATTGTCCTTGGAAAAAAATACTAATGAGGGAGAGAATCTGCAAACATCAAGAAAGCTACAGTTGGATGTTTCTGCGAGGAAGTCTCTGAAGAGGCTGAAAGGGCTGAAAGTGAAAAAAAAAAAAAAAGCTCCTTGTTTCCCATCCCCTACTCCTGACAGAGACAAAGGCTGGGGTCCATAGGAGGCAGAAGAGAAGGGGGAGAAGGACACAGTAGAGAATAGAAAAGCTGACCCTAGGCCTCCACTATTTCTCCTCATTCAAGCCTCCATCTTGAAAGTGGCCCAGCTAGGGAATAAGGGAAGCCTTAACCTTAAGGTTCCAAGCTTGGGGGTATATTACTCAGGAGTAGGTGTTTTACTTCTGAAATGAAACTATGTTATGACTGGAGGAGTCATTATATGACAGGGAGATGAAAAGTCATAGTATTCACCTCAGATTTTATCCAAGGGATGAGCAAGGAGGTATACTTGCAAAACAAGTTTGAAGTGGCAAGAGGGAGGGGGAGATTAAAGCCTCTTTCTGTCAGTGGAGTCCCACTCTTCCAACTTAATATTTCACAGAATGGTTCTGAAAGGATAACACAAGAAATATTTGCTCAAGGAAGGAACTGGCTGACAGGGTATGGGGAAGACTATTTATTATATACCCCCTTGGACAGTTTGAATTTTTTTTTTTTTTTTGAGACAGGGTCTTACTATGTAGTTCAGGCTGGTCTTGCACTCACTATGTTGTCCAGGCTGGCCTCCAACTCATGGTGATCCTCCTGCCTCAGCCTCCGGAGTGCTGGGATTACAGGCGTGTACCATCATGCCCAGCAATATTTTGAATTTTTAACCATAAGAATGTATTTTGTATTTTAAATTTTTTTCATTTAAAATGAACAAACTGGGCCGGGGATTTAGCTCAGTGGTTTCACCACCTGCCGCAAAAGTGCAAGGACCCGAGTTTGATCCCCGGAACCAAAAATAAAATAAAATAAAATAAAATAAAATGAACAAACTGCACACCTGCCTGGCAAGCACAAGGTCCTGAGTTCGATTCCAGGTCCTAGAAAAAACAATACCATTAAAATGAACAAACTGTAGCAGGCAGCCTCTTCTATGGCCCCCAACAATCCCTCTTCCTGGAATTCTTGCCCTGATGTGATCCCCTCCCCTTGGGGGTAGGCTGGACTTATCTTGTCTTTTCCACTATATGGAATGTGGAAGATGATGGGAAGTCCTTTCTGTGGCCCCTGGCTTGGCCCTCTGACATTGCACATTCTGGGAAAGTCAGCTTCTGTGTGCCCAGGCAGCCCTGTGACAAACTTGGCAGTGGATCTTCGGAAGCCTGCCAGCAGCCTGTACCCTTCAGGTAGGGGCAGGTGCTGTAGCTCTGACCCACAGCTTGATGGCAGCTCAGGAGAGACCCTGATCCAAAGGCCCACACCTCATTGCTCCTGGATTCTCAAACCACAGAAACCGAGATAAGTGGAAGAGGTTTTCAACTGCTAAGTTTTGGAGTAATCTGTTTCACAGCAACAGAAAACTAAAATAAATCATATTTAACAAGCAAAAATAGCATGCTACCCACATGTACTTTTGATTTAGAAGGTGGGCTTCTGAAGTCACTTTCCCACAAGCCATGCTAATTTAGTTGAGCTTTGCTTTCTTTTATTTTTACTATGAAGACCACATGTTTTTTTTCCAACATGAAAGTATATTACACCAACAAATACACTTGTGAATTATTAATTTATTCTCAGTTCCCTTGCTGAGAGACCAGCAAAGGGGAAAACCCACTGATTTTATAGCAAGCAGTGAAAAAGCTTGCTCTTTCTTCTGGGGTGAGAATGGGTATAGAAGGGTGGGAAAAAGAAGCTACTTTATTCCTAAAAAGCTGCATACCAATCCTGAAAAAGTAGCCCTGAGAAATAACAGCCAGGGCCTTACAGACTTTGCCCACCCAGAAAGATGTACAGCAATGAAAGAGACCCAAGGAATATGACTTCCCAACCATAACATGACACTGGTTTGCTTCTAAAACTCCCTTGAGGGAGAGGCTGTAGGTAAGTCATTGAGAGTCCCAGTGAAGTATCATGAGTTGATACTTGTTGAAGCTAGATTTTTGAGTATATGAGGTTCCCTATACTTTTCACTTTATTTTTGTATGTAACTGAAATTTTATAAAATGGAAGCTTTATAAAATCTATTTATTAAAGAATTATATCAAATATGTGGAATACCAATGTTCTTTAAAACCCAGTATATTTTAAAGTACATATTGGCCATTTAAAAACAATGTAAGGAATATTTTGTTCTGCTCACTAACACTAAAAATGTACTTCGATCAAATGCAACTTCTTACTATGGTACATATACCCTGTTATTTCATTACAAATGTAAGAAAGGCTGGTTTTATAGAGAGTTGTAGTCACTTCATTATACTTACCCTGCCTTTCCTCTGGAAGATGAATTCCTCTTCAATGCAAGATCCAAGACCTTCTGTGTGTCTGACAATAGCTACAGGACGTCACTGTGCCGCTAGGAGAAGCTACACTATTCAGTAAAGGGAATAGGCCACTTGAACATCATCAGGTGATATTTTGAAAAAAAGAAAATCTAAATAGGGCCCGGGAATTTAGCTTAGTGGTTTCACCACCTGCTGTGAAAGCGCAAGGACCCGAGTCCGATCCCCGTTACCAAAAACATAAATAAATAAATAAATACTTTTAGGCTGTGCTCATTTTTTAAATAAAATGTAAATTTATAAATGCAGAACTGCAGAATACACTTGCAATAGAAAGAAGTCCTCTCTAAATAATTTTCATTAGTCAGTCTGATGAAAAGAACTGGCTATTACTGGGTAATACAGATAGGGCCACTATACATGTAACAAATTTGGTCTTTAGGCCAGCTAAGAATAATCTGTCATGATACTGTCAGTCCTTCTCCACCCCAGTGTGGTGGGGGTCCTTGGAGGAAAAGGGTCGAGGAACCATGTTCTCACTCTTGTGTCCACTGCCAGATGCGGGACAAATGTCATTCACACTCCACAGAGCACCTCCCCTCTTCTCATTCCTTTCATTTCCACTCAGACAAGTGCACTGGAGGGAGGGTGAAGCCGGAGGAAGGGGAGTCCAGCCGGAGTCAGCCAGCCGTGCTGTCTGATGCTCGCTTTGCCATCCTCAGCCCATGCACTTGATCACCGCACATGCTGTGCCAGCATCATTTCAGAGGATCCTTCAGGTGCTGGGCCTCTTCCCTTTGGTCATGGACAAGATTCTTGCTTGCACTTAGTTTCAGAATTTATTTATTTGCATTATCAGTAGAAAGCAGGTTTTAAAAATATTTCTTACATTTGGTTTTAGAAATGATAGAAAATAAAAATCAGTAATTAGGTCACACAACTTTGGAAGGCAGATTTATGCTTTCACACCAGAGATGCTGAATGCGATGCTGATGGACACCTGACCAGTGGGTGACAAAGGGTTCACGCTGCTGACAGAGGAACCCTTGTATATTTTAAAGTCTTCTTCCCTGCCATTATTTATTTTATGGCAAATATCACTCCAGAGGAAAGAGTAGCAAACACAAAAGGCACCTAGAGTAAACATTAGACCTTAACCAATAAAGACAGCTACACGTTTACATGAAGAAAAGAGCCCCTATCAGTGCAGCTGTCCTGAAAAGCATTGATGATATACACGCAAAAGCAACTGCAAACTAAAAAGCATACACATGCTTACCTGGATCTGGTACGTGAACTGCGTAATGACTATTACCCCTTTTTTGGGGGGCGATGGTACTGGGGATTGAACTCCGGGGCCTTCACACTGAGCTACATCCCAGCTCTTTTTAGTTTTTATTTTGAGACAGGTTTTTATATGTACAAACATTGCAAATTATTTCCTTAGACTAATAAAAACTTTAAAAAATACAAATAATCCTTTACCATAAAGATTCAAAATCCATGTGGATGCTCTGCCTTAAGAGGGAGCAAATGCTTGTCTGCATGTAGACTATGCAAGCACTCCTCAGTGGAGCCAGGTTGTATTCAGCTGTGTCTGGTTTTTGATACTGGTATCCATTTTTAGCACTTCTCTGATGACCATAATAGCTTAAGTAGGAGGAAGTGAAAAATCCATTTTCAGAGCCCCTGTATTTGCCTTCAGAAGCAAATATTGGTGGTGGTTTCCCTTCTAGGTTGTCCACATCAGTGTTGAAAAGTGGAATTGTAGGGTCCTCATATGCAGCAACTTCCCAGCTGACATTCTGAAGATGAATAATGATCTTCCAGTAGGCCCCTGATAAGGAATGATCTCGAATTTTGTGTCTCATGTTGTCGATATCAAGGTTGTCTGGGGTCAGCATTTCTCTGTAGGCTTTACTAATTTTATGCTTTCAGTAGATGGCATCAAACTCAGGCAAGGGCATCGCCACATCATGAATGGGGTGATTATTAACATCTTCTTCCTCAATATATGTAGCTGTGGCTCCTTTGAGAACAAGGTCCCCTGGGACAGGTTTCAGCCCATAGTCTTCTGTCCTCTTGCTCATCATGTTATTCTTTGATAGCTATGGATATACATTGATTATTTCTTGATATTATGCCAAATGCAGAGACTATATCCTTTATTCCACATTTTGAAAGTCCTCAAAGCCGCTG